TCATTTCTAACTATTCACTACCCTAACTGCCCTTTGCCCCCCACACACCTATGCTAAGCTTCCAGCCATTGACCGGTCTTCCTGGCCTATTTTCCCTGGCCTTGAATATTAGTCTCATACTTTTTTTTTTTTTAATACAAGTTGTGGAGGTTTGTCCTGAGCCTGAAACCAAGTCTCGCTCGGGAGGCAGGATCAAGGAGGGGGCAGTGTCTGGGTAGGCGGGGTTATATACAGTTAGCACAGCTGGGCAGCTGGTGGCCAGCAGCTTCTGTGAACGCCCCACAGGCAGTCTCTGAGGCCTTGGGGGCGAGGACTTGTGGGCACTAAACTGCAGTGCCCACAGCAGGCCTGCTGGCCTAGCCCCAGTGAGCCAGAGAGAAAGCACCGTGTATACCATGCTGCCCCTACTTTTCTCCCTCCTTCTTTTCTTCCTTATGTCCATACTTCTTATTTTTTTGGGGGGTGGGGAGATGTCCCAAAAATATTTTTAAAAATTTGGACAGCCTCCAGAGCTCTGTGCTGGAGAGTTGGACTCCAGGTGGTACCAGGAATTGAACCAGGGCCAGCCACATGCAAGGTGAGCAAGCGGACAAGCGCTTCCCCTGTATTCTCCCTCCAGCCTTCGCAGCCAGATGTCCCCGGCACTTGAAGGCAGGACATGCTCAGTGCCCAGTTTGGCATGGCTGGCATCCTGGACACGTTCACACCTTTGCTGTCTGGCTCAGTGAAGCCTGGTTCTGTGTTTCTTTTTTCCCCCCCTCAATGGCTACTCCGTTGATCTGACATGTAGCCTGTAGATAAATCTCTGAGGTCAAGCTTCTTCCCTTGGGGCTGGAGTGATAGGGCAGTGGGTAGGGCGCTTGCCTTGCATGCAGCCAACCCAGGGTTTGCTCCCTGGCACCCCAGAGGGTCCCCCTGAGCACTGCCAGGAGCCATTCCTGAGCCGGGAAATAAGTCCTAAGCACAGATGGGTGCGATCACCCCACAAAAAAAAAATCATTTGATTTTAAAAAAGAATTTGAGTTCTGAAAACATAAACCACTGACCCCCTGAGCTCCTACACACACACACACACACACACACACACACACACACACACACACACACACACAGAGGTTCTGGCCTCTTCATGAAGACCAGAGCACTGGCCCTCAGCCTGGTCACAGGGCGACACCTGCTGGTGCAAAGTTGGATGTGCCATCACCAGCTTCACCCTTTCCACCTCAAACTCCCCCGCAAGGGAGGTGGTGGACTCCAGCCATGCTCAGTGCTGGGCACTAGACCAGCCTTCCCGGCGACGGCTGCGCTCCTTGGCTTGCCTGTCTAACCACAGAGCAGCGGGCATCTTCTCTTTTTCTAGCAGTCTTGCTCAATGACTGATCAGTGGCTGTGAAAGTCACTCGGTACAGAATAAGAGAAAGATCATGTGTTTTTTCTCTTCTCCTTGGACAGAGAGGCGCTGATTTCCTCCTTCTTGGCCTGGAGCATTTGTCCTGGCACCGAGGTGCTACCTTGGTCTCAGACCTGTGGGCCTCAGCCTGCTCAGCCAGGAGCTTCTCGTGAGCCTGGTTGGCCTGTAGCTGGTAGGTGCATTGCCTGAGTTTGAACACGTCCCCTTCCCTGGTGGGTTCAGGCCGTGAGACATGTAGCAGTGTGTCCGCGAGCTTCTGAGCGGCCAGGCCAGAGTCTCCTCTCCTCTGTAGGATAACATTGGTTTGTCCTTTTTTCCTTGCCACAGGGAGCTTAGGTTTATCGGGTTACACCCATCACAGTGCTCCCAAATCACTCCCATTCCTCTGTGCTTATCTGTAACTCCTCTCTATGCTCTCTTCCCCAACCGGTGTATCACCTTTTCCCCCCTAATCAAACTCTATTAACTTGTAAGGTCAGATTCCTCAGAAATCTATGATTTTGTATGTATGAATGAAATAATTGCCTTTCTCCTCTCCTTATGTCTTTTGAATAGTTTACGTCAAAGCAATGTCCGTTTTGTATGGACATAGTAAGAGATATATTAAGCTTATAGAATTGCTCTACAGTGCTCAGGCCAGACTCGTCTTTCCTATTCCTAGCAGAGTCCTAATCTCATCGTTACTTTTGGATCATGACAGCATTTGTCCATGATCATGCTTTCAACTTATAGTTGAGTATCCTGGAGATACGCAACTCCACTGGTGGCAGAGAGAGAGAAAGCCACCGCGCGAGGCCCTTCGTATTTTATTTTATTTTATTTTTTGTTAATAAACACTCCTCCTCCTCCTCCCTCCTCCTCCTCTTCCTCCTCCCTCCTCCTCCTTCTCCCTCCTCCCTCTTTCTCCTCTTCCTCCTCCCTCCTCCTTCCTCCTCCTACTCCCTCTTCCTCCTCTTCCTCCTCCCTCCTCCTCCTCCTTCCTCCTCCTTCCTCTTCCTTCCTCCTCCTACTCCCTCTTCCTCCTCTTCCTCCTCCTCCCTCCTCCTTCCTCATCTTCTTCCTCTCCCTCCTCCTCCTCCTCCTCCTCCTCATTCCCTCTGGGCCTGGAGTGTGACCTTGCTCAGAGGTGACCCTCCTGGTGGGCCCTGGTGTCTTTCAGCATCAAGCCCAGTCATGGACTTCTGGGTTAGCAGCCCGCCTTTGATCAGTTTCCAGAGTTGGTGTTGGCGACTTCATTGGGGTCCACCCAGACCTCTTGTGGCCACAGTGGAGGACACTGACTGTGAGCCTGGCCTGAGAAAAGCTGGAGGGTTTCTCCTCTCCCCTTCCCTCCCCCTCCCTTTGTTATCATGTCACCGTGTTGGATGCCGTCTGCTTTGTCCAACAGCTCAGAGATGACACTGGCTGACTCTCAGGGATGTGGAGAAGGTGCTGGGACTCTCTCAGTCCCATGCATCATTTTGCCACTGAGCTCCAAGAGGAATCCCCCCCCTTTTTTTTTTTTTGCTTTTTGGATCACACCCGGTGATGCACTGGGGTTACTCCTGGCTCTTCACTCAGGAATTACTCCTGGTGGTACTCAGGGGACCATATGGGATGCTGGGGATCGAACCCAGGTCGGTCACATGCAAGACAAATACCCTACCCACTGTGCTATCACTCCAGCCCCAGGAATCCCTTTTTTCATTTGTGGTTTTTGAGAGGCTCCCAGTCAGCAGTGCTCAGGGGTGATGCCTGGTGGTGCATGGTGGATGACACGGTGCAGGGTTGGAGGCCTGCCCCCCGCACCCACCCCCCATGTACTCCGTGCGTGTGCTCAGTCCCCTGAGCCATCTCTGCAGCCCAGGGATTCCTCCTAAAGGTCAATCTGGCCATATTCACTCTCTGCTCACCGTTCTCAATAGTCTCCATTTCCGAAAATAATTCTGAAGACCTTCTCAAAGCTTCCCCTGACGTGGTTGGCACCTCATTTCTGGCGATTTTGTGGCTGTCATCCCTAGCTAGGTGATCTCATTCAGGGTCTGGCCTTGTCTGTCTGGGTTTTTTTTTTTTTTTTGGTCACACCCAGTGATGCACAGGGGTTACTCCTGGCTCTGCACTCAGGAATTACTTCGGTCAGTGCTTGGAGGGATGCTGGGAATTGAACATGGGTGAGCCACGTGCAAGGCAAATGCCCTACCCGCTGTGCTATCAGCTCCAGCCCCTGACCTTGTCTGTCTTATCACTGCTGCCCCCCCCCCCCCCCAGGGTCTAGCCCACAGCCTGGCGCACAGGAAATACTTGGTTAGTGAATAAATACTCCAGCTAAACTGAACGAATAAATAACTCTAGTCCTTTTTTCCTGTTCTTCCACCCTGCCCCCTTACACTTTAAGTGACTTACCAGTCAGATCTTAGTTTATTTATTTTTTAAAATTTTGGCATTTGAGCCACGCCCAGCAATGCCTTACCCTGGCACAGCACACAGGAATTACTCTTGGTGATGCTCGGGGGACTCTGTGAGATCTCAGGAATCAAACTCTGGTGTGCTTTACACAGGGCAGACGCCCTACCCACTGTCCTATTGCTCTGGTCCCTCAGATCTTAGTTTAGAGGGCCCTTCCTTCAGGAAGCCCTCCCGGATCTCTTCCCCCCTAGAATGAGCTGGACATCCTCTCCTACAGCCACCATGATCCTGTGTGTCCTTACTGTTTCCCTTATAAGAAACTAGGCCAGGGAAGAGAGATAACACAGAGGTTAAGCATTTGTCTTGCACATGGCCAATCCTTGTTTGATTCCCAGCACTACTGGAAGTGACCTCTGAGCTCAGGATTGGGAGTAGATCCCAAAATCACTGGTGTGGCCTCCAAAACAAAAAAAAAATGTATAAAGAAGCTAAACAATATATATTTTTAAAAGGCAATAGTCACTTCCTCTCTTGCCTCTCCTACCAGGCTGCAGTTTATTTTTGTTTGTTTGGTTTTTGAGCCACACCCAGCAGTGTTCAAAGTTTACTCCTGGCTCTGTGCTCAGGGATCTTCCCTGGCAGAGTTTGGGGGTACAACATGTGATGTTGGGTATCAAACTCAGGTTGACGATGTGCCAGGCAAGTGCCTTACCTGATGTACTATCTCTCCGGCTCCAATAAATGCTCTGTTTTTGCTTTGGTTTGTTCTAATAGGACACTCCTTTTCCTTTTTCAGCACCTGTGTGCCCCTCTTAAGAAGTCGGATCCCCCCATTGCCCATCTCCATGGCAGGGTCCCTTGAGTTTTCCCACCTGGGTTCGTGACATTCTGGGACCTCCCTGCTTGCCCAGGAGCCAAGATGCCCGTGCAGTGCCTCTCGGCTGTACTGGACAATTGCATCCCTGCTCTAGGGAAGATGCTGGCCAGGAGGTTCCGGGGGATGGATTTCCACACTGCCAGCTCCTACCTTTCCGATCATCAGTTCACTGTTACCCATCAAGAAGGCCTCTCCCAACTTCCTGGGGAAAACCCTTTGCCCCACTTGCTTTGCATCTCAGCGCCATCCGGATTCTGCCACAACACGCAATGCTCTTAAAGATCATCTTTATTTGCTTGGTTATTTGTTTAACGCTTCTCCCACCCCCAAAACAGAAGCTCCAAGAACGCCGTGCTGTCTCCCGTGCTTTGCAGGCCTCTCATAGGAAGGTGCACCATCAGGACATGTGGTAGGAATGCATGAACAGAGGGTTGGGGGGACAGCTCGGATGGCAGAGCCTAGTGTGGGCAAGGCTGGATCCCATCCCTGGAATGCTGCTCCCCTCTCCCAGCACAGCCCTTATAAAAATAATCTAAAAATAAATATACTTGTAGAGAAGAGGGTTGTAGGAATCAAAGAGTCTCTTTTCAACACAAGTCCCCAATCCTGTTTCCGCTGAAGGACAAAAGAAAGACGAAAGGAAGGAGGAAATAAGATCCCTAAGTGTGCGTGACCTCCGTGAACGTCCTTTGCTGCAGCTAATGCTTAGGCACAGGAGACTTCTGCGGGGCTGGGGACGAGGAACTGGGTTCCTGGAAGTGTGGCCCTGGGGCCTTAGACACTGGCTGGCCAGCCGCATCTTCCGTTCTGTCAGCCATCCCCCTGCCACAGACACAGGAGTTGAGAAGCCCTTTGAGCAAGCCCTTGGCTGCCCCCGAGGATGAATATCTCACAGGCATTGCCTTCACGGGGCTCTTCTTGGCTTCCGGGACCTCCTGGGTGCAGAGGGGGCTGACTGGAGCAGAAGCTGGGGCCTCCGTCGCCTTGCAAGGCCCCGTGGTCTCCCTGGCCTGGGTGAAGTGGCCCATACCCGCTCCGACCTCCTGAGTGTGATAGGGCTGGTTGCCCCCACAGAACACTAGGTAGGTTTTCATGGGAGGAGTGACTGGGCCCAGGGGGCGGCAGGGAGCTTGGGGACGCAGCGGTGGGACTGGCAGGGAAAGCTGTTTCCCGGGAGTACAGTCCATGAGGAATGTTAGGTGGGCTGAGGGGAGGGTCTTCTGATGGCCGGCCAGCTTTCCATCTAGAAGGAAGGAAAAGACCAAAGGTTGGTGCTAGGAACGAAGGGTGTGTTTTGATTAAGCATTGCATGTTCACGTGTTCTTTCACTCCTCCAGGGACTGCCTGGGGGCCGGAGTGATAGCACAGAGAGAAGGGTGCTCGCCTTGCACGTGAGTTCCGTCCCGGGAATCTCATAGAGTCCCCAAAGCCCTCTGCTGAGAGTGATCCCTGAGTGCAGAGCTGAAAGTAAGCCCTGAGCATTTCTGAGTGGTCCCCAAACAGAACAAAAACCAAAGCTATCAAACAAAAAGCCTGGAGTCTTGGGATAGAGAAGGTCTTTAAGGCCAATAGTGTACCCTAACCCCTGCCCCCCCCCCCCCCCCCACACACACACACTCTCTCCACTCACACACAGGGAATGAGTCTACAGAGAGAGAAGTTCAAGGACTCAACCCTGGAGGCTTTCCAATATGAAGAACTCTGGGAGAAACATAAGAAATGGCCCTAATGTGGGAGGAGGAGCTGGCGACACTGGCAGAGCACCACGTGAAACCAGGGACAGAGGGGCTGGAGTGATAGCACAGAGGGTAGGGCGTTTGCCTTGCATGCGGCTGACCCAGGTTTGATTCCCAGCATCCCATATGGTCCCCCAAACACCGCCAGGAGTAACCCCTGTGCATCACCAGGTGTGACCCCCCCCCCCAAAAAAAAGAAACCAGGGACAGAGCCTCCAGGGCAAGTGCTGATGACAGGGTAGGCTGTCAGGCGCTGGGAAGGGGTGGCTGTTTGCAGCCTGAGTCTGACGGCTTTGAAACGATAGCGGGAAGCGGGGGGCGGACAGCTTGGGAAGAACTTGGAAACAAAGCAGGGCTCTTTCTGGAGAGAGAATGTGACTGGCGCTGTTTCTCTCTCTCTCTCTCTCTCTCTCTCTCTCTCTCTCTTTGATTTTTACTTGGGGGCCACACCCGACAGTGCTCAGAGCTTTCTCCCGGCTCAGTGCTTAGGAATCACTCCTGGCAGGGCCCAAGGACCATATAGGGTGCTGGGAATAGAACCCAGGTCGGCCATGTACAAGGTAACCTGCTGTACTATTACTCCAGCAACTGTTGATTCAAAAAAAACTTTTTGTTGATTGAGGTCTATGATTTATAATACTGTTCATGAGGGTTCCCAGGTACATAATTCCAACACTTCATAAATAGCCAAGATCTGGAAACAACCCAAAGGCCTGTGTTTTTTCTTTGAAGGTGGAGAAGTAATGTCAGGGATGATTCAGTAGGGCAGGGAAAGGGGCAGAAGGAAGAGGGAGCATTGCTGAGGGGTATTTTCAGTAATGCTGAGGAAAGAGCAACTGAGGGTGGGCTTCGTAAAGTCATTTCTAGTTTCCCCTTCAATACAGAAAGCATCTCCTCCCCGCTGTGTCCAATACCATGTTTGTTTCTCTTTTTATTCTTCAAATGTAACAGCATTATTTTTAGAGCATCTCCTACGTGCTTGGCACCAATGAATCTTTATTTATGTATTTGGTTTCTGGATCCAGCAGTGCTCAGGAATTACCTATGCCTCTGGGCTCAGGGATCATTCCTGGTGGTACTCAGGGGATCCTGTGAAGTACTGAGGATCAAACTGGGGCTGGTTGGGGCTGGAGCAAGAGTATAGAGGGTAAAGCACTTGCTTTGCATGCAGCCAACCCAGGTCTGATCCTCAGAATCCCAAATGGTCCCCCTAGCACTGCCAAGACTGATTCCTGAGTGCAGAGCCAGGAGTAATCCCTGAGTACTGCTGGATATGGCCTCAAAATCGAAAACAAACAAAACCAACTCAAACAATGAAACAGGGGTTGGCCAAGTGCAAAGCAAGCCCCCTACCTGCGGTACTGTCTCTCCAACCCCGAGACCCTTGTTTAAATCCAGGAATCTGTGGTCATCTTGGTTTTTGCTTTTGCTTTTGCTTTTGGGCCACACCCAGCTGTGACCAGAGCTTACCTCTGGCCCTGCGCTCAGGGATCATTCCTGATGGGGCCCAGGGGACCATACGGGATGCTGGGGCTAGAATCTGGGTCAGCAGAGTGCAAGGCATGCTGTACTATCTATCCGTACTATCTACCCTCTATACTATCTCTCCAGCCCCTCTGGGGGCATCTTGTGTGAGTGCAGACGTTTGTGTCACTGGTTCCCACACCACACTGCTCACAGTGAGGAAAATCTCAGCCACCTCCCTGGGTAAGGTGTGTGAGGTTCAGCTTGCTTTAATGGTGGTGGTCCCGCCACCCCTGAACCTCATAGCCCCACAGCCTCTGGGCCGAGTGCCATCTGCCCCGGGGATGTCTGCACTATCTGACTCTGGGTGTGACATATATGACACCCAGCCTGGAGCACAGGGAAGACAAGGGTGGATCAAGGAAGCAATGGCCAGAATAGGCTTGTGTGAGAATATCTGGGCTCTTCGGCAAGGAACTTTTCTAGGGACCAAGTAATGAACAGATCCATTCTCTTTGGTTTTGTTGTTGTTTGTTTGCTTGCTTTGTGGCTGTTTGGGGGTCACAAACTGCGATGCTCAGGGATGACTCCTGGCAGTGCTCAGGGGATCATATAAAATGCTGGGGATCGAACCCGCATCAGCGACATGCAAGGCAAGTGCCCTACCCGCTGTACCCTGTGCCCTGCCCTATCGCTCCGGTTGGCCCATTCTCTCCATGACCTGCTGTTGCCCAGAGACAGGCTTAGATGCCAACTCGTGTGAACAGTGGAGTATGTCTGCAGTCCACCGAGTGTTGGAGAACCCTGGCAGCCCCAGGGGACAGTGGAGTATGTCTGCAGCCCACCGGGTGCTGGAGAGCCCTGGCAGCCCTAGAGGACCATGTGTGCCCTTACACTCCTCCCCCAGCTCCTCTCCAGTGCCCTTTCTGCAGGGTCATTTCCCTCTGTGACCACTCACCTGGACCGCTGGCCAGCTCTGTCTCAGGATCAGTGACTTTGGGGTCGGTTCTCCTGTCCCTGGGATCTTCTGAGGGGACCATGCTGCGGTCTCGGCGCCTGGCCTAACTCTGGTGGTGGGGAGAGGTTCTCGGCAGCCTCTTCAGGATGTAACTAGGTCCCCACCCAAGGATCCGACCTTTTCTACTTACCGGATCCGGATGGATCTGCTGAGAGAATTCCACCAGCAGCCACAGGAACTGGCCCCGGGCAGCTGGGGGCCTTGCTTTGATCAAGACGCCTGATGTCAACAGGATTGTTGTAGGGGCACGGCGAGGCCAACCTTCCACCTCCAGCTGCTTCCTGCCTTGGAACAGGCCTTGAACCTTCTTATCCCCAGCTCCGTTTCCCAGACCTCAGCCATTATCTCCCAGCCCCACTAGTTCTTTCCGACTGGGTTTTATGAGGACCTGCTGATTGGCTCGCAGACAGTTGTCTCCTCGTTGGTATTTTTTTCTCTCGTGGCTTCCCTTTGTTGTTCCTGGGGCTTCTGCCGTCACCAGCAGCTTGCACACCCTGAGTGGTGGGGCTCCAGCACATTCTGCTGCAAGGCTGGTCAGGCGTGGCTGTGGGCACACACACACACACACACACACACACACACACACACACACACACACATTCACACGCTTGCTCTGTTGGGAGGCTGAAGGCTTCAGACAGGCAGAGCTGCCAGGATGAAGTCAGCACATGTGGTTGGCACTCATAGGGCTTGAAATCATGGCGTCCTTCATGCCAGATGGGCACAGTCAGCCACTGGGTCATGCCTGGCCCTTTTTTGTCTTTTCATAGTGCCTTCATGGCTGAAGTGAGACTCATCCTGTTACTGGCTTTGAGAAGGGTGGAATTCGTGTGTCAGTGAATGCAGGTGGCTTCAATCAAATGGGACAGGGCTGGAGTAATAGTACAGCGGGTAGGGTGTTTGCCTTGCATATAGCTGACCCTGGTTCAATCCCCAGCACCTCATGTGGCCCCCCTAAGCACCACCAGCAATGACCCTTGAGCACAGAACCAGGAGTAATCCCTGAACCACTCTGAGTGTGGCCCCAAAACAGTAATAATAATAATTACTATTATTAATAATAATCATAAAAACTGGGCTGGATAAGGCAAGGCTTGTTTCCCCTTAGACCCTGTGTAGTGCAGGAAATTGAACCTTTCTGCTGTGGCTGAACTCTAGCCCAGTGGGACCCTTGCGGGAATTGACTGACTAAATAGTTTGTGTCCTGTAAGTCTCTAGATCTGGGCCTTTGTTACTGAAACAATCAAAAACTGATACATTATACACAATCAAACAAAATCCTAGTACACAATGTTGCCGTGTTAGCCCAGATATCAAAATTAACTGAGCTAGACTAGACAATGTGTTCTTTTTGTTGTTGTTGTTTTAGTGTGGTTCTGGGGCCACACCCAGCTGTGCTCAGGCCTTATTTCTGGCTCTGTACACAGGAATCACTCCTGGTGGTACTCAGGGGATCACATGCAGTGCTGGGGATTGAGCCAGGGTACCAAAGTGGCAAGCACCTGCCCTGCTGTACTGTCTCTTTAGCTTTTTATAAAGGAAGACTGGGCACATTTGCTCATATGCCTTGATACTTCTGATGAGAATGCAGCTTTATGCCTCTAGTCACTTTCCTCTGAACCCATAACCTTGGTGTATCATTTAAAAAAACACTAGAATAGGTAGGGCATTTGCTTTACATGTGGCAGATCAAGGTTCGAACTTGGCACCACATATGGTCCCATGAACCACACTATGAGTAATCCCTAAGTGCAGAACAAGGAGTAAGCCTGAGCACCATTGGGTTACAAAAAGAAAGAAAGAAAGAAAGAAAGAAAGAAAGAAAGAAAGGAAGGAAGGAAGGGAGGGATGAACAGATAGCATAGCGGGGAGGACACTTGCCTTCCATGTCTTACCCCTGAGCATCACCAGATGTGGCCCAAAAGCAAAAAAGAAAGAAAAAGAGGTATAGAGAAAAAGGAAGAAAGAAAAAAAAGAAAGAATCCAAAACTGAGAAACTTATTCAAAATACCTACCCAATATTCCCAGACTGCCAAGATGAGGAATCATGAGGGGAGGGAGGAAACCGGTGGAGAGCAGAGGACACTAAGGAGCCATGAGGACCCAAGGCAGTGGGGACCTTGGGTGGGATTCTGCAACAGAACAGAGGACAAAAGCAAAAAGATTGGTGACATCAAATACAGTCAGGTGATGTTAGATACATGTACCAACATTGATTTCCTATGTGGACCAGTGATCCCTGGTTATGTAAGATAGTAACCATCAGAGAAACAGCACACAGAGTGTCCAGGAACTCTCTGGACTATCTACAACTTCTCAACAAATCTATAAGTATTCACTTATTTATATGTTTGTTTATATTTTTAGGCCATACCTGTGATGCTCTGGGCTTACTCTAGGCTCTGCACTCAGGAATCACTTCTGGCAGGGCTCAGGGGACAATATAGCGTGCAGGGGATCAAACTCAGGTCAGCCATATGCAAGGCAAATATCCAAGCTGCTGTATTATCTCTCTGATCCCTCTTTATTTTATTTATTTATTTTTTATGTAGGAGTACTGCTATTTGTTCAGCCACTGATTAGGCTGATTGAATTGGGCATGTACTCCACCTTACTATTTTTTTCATTTTTTATCATTTTATTTATTGAATCGCTGTGAGAGCAGCTACAAAGCTTTTGGGTTTAAGTCTTGGTCATACAATGAAACACCTGTACCTTCACCAGTGCCCATTCTCCATCACCAAAAACCACAGTATGCCTCCATCCTACACCCTCTCCCTACCTGTGGGGCAGATGATTTCCACATTACTCTCTCTCTACTTTGATTACATTCAATATTTTGACACCTGACCCACCATTATTATTTAGAATTTTACCCCAACACTCAAATATACCAAAAAGGCAACAGTAGACAATTTGTTTTCTATTGCTGGTTATGAATAACATATGATGTTGCGTGGCTGCAGTAGTAGCCACGTGATTTCAAAATTTTGGAATTTTAACAATTAAATCTGGAGGGATTTCTGCCAAAACCTGCTGGGTTCCGAGATTTGTTCCTGAGTCTCTGGGATCATAGGTGTTTAGCACCTTGACCAGGAGCCAGAGAGACCGTTCGTGGGTGGTGATTCGGTGACCCCTCTTTATTTTAAAATTTTAAAACTTTGTTGTTGTTTTTTGAGGCACGTGTATATTTGCTTCCATCCCTACCCCAGCCATAAAGTAGTCCCTCTCTTTGGCTTCCTTCTGTATTATTTTGAAGATAGAGTTTCTGGCATCTCAGCTTCATTTAATGAAGGCCACTGTTGGAGTTCAATATACCAACTGGGGTGTTAGAAGATGTAGGTGTAGATTTGAACTTGAACTTTCTGAAATGTGCACTTCCCTTCTTTTTTGTTTTGGAGCCAAACCTGGTGTGCTCAGGGCTTACTCCCAGCTCTGTGCTCAGGCATCACTCTTGATGGAGTTTGGGGGACTATATGGGGTGCCAGAGATTGAGTCTGGTTCAGCCATGTGCAAGGCAAGTGACCTACCCACTGAATTAGCACTCTGGCCTCAAGTGTGTATTTGAGAAATCCAGTCACCACAAGAACCTAGGCTAAGTTTAAGCAGAAAAGGGCAGACTACAGAGAATTACAGGTTTATAAAATGATGAGCAGGGGACTCTAAACAAATTGCAGGTAGACTCAGCTCTTAGTATGAAATAGTTTTCATACACTATTTAACTCAACAATAAGAATACGTCCTGCTACAACCAAAAAGATGAGAAATCAAGAGTTCACCTCTGAGATTATTTCATTAAAGATCTTATCACTATAGCAGGTATCCTGAAGTTGGAACAGGAGTTGATTCTCATGTACCAGAAAGCTGAGTATGGCAGACACCGTCTCACATATGCTTTGGAACACTCGTGAAGTGGGAGACCAGCTTTACACTCCCACAGTTGCATGATCTTGCATGCTAGAAGAAACCTGCTTAACATCAGGGGCCAGAGTGATAGTACAGCAGGTAGGGCATACCTTGCACATGGCGGACCTGTGTCCCATCCCCGGCAGACCTGTGTTCCATATGGTCGCTAGTCCCATCAAAAGTGATCTGAGTGCAGAGATAAGAGTAAGCCCTGAGCACATCTGGGTGTGGCTAAAACCCAACAAACAAAACAATAAAAAGAAAAGGAAAAAAGGAAAGAGACCAGCTAAATCACAATGGCTACTGCCTCAACTCTCACTTTCCAAATCTTTAACAACTGGCAAAACCCATTTGTAGTTGGAAGTCTGATTGCAACAGAGTCTGGGAAATCAAAATTTCATCTTTATGTATCCATTCATCCAACTATGTTCAGCTATTGAGGGACTATTTGAACAATTTTTTTTTAAATATGTAAAGGATGTGAAAAAGCTAAAGAATCTATCTATAGATTCTGGAAGGGATGGAGGCTGAGTAGCAATCTCCCAGAGTTGATATGATTTCCCTATAAAACAAAGACTGACATCAACCGTTGTTGAGATTTCTATTTCCTCTGGTCAATGTAAAGAGAGGAATACTGAGCTAGCAAACAGAAGTTTGTTAAGTTCCACTTAATGCTAGTGTTCATGAATTTTCAGAGCACAGGCTGTATCATTGGGTATTTTCTCCAACTGTGCTTGGCTATTTGGACACAGGCCAAGAGAAATGGAACAGATGAATTCATCCGGAGTTGGCTTTCTTACCAAATCAAATGACAAAAGGATAAGGGAGCAAAGGATTTCAGGGTGATAGAAAGAAATGTTGTTAAACTTAAGAATTATGAAAACGTATACATGATCAGAAATGAAGAAATGAGAAGGCCCATGATGCTAAAAAGTTGTGAAAGGTTCTCAGACAATCTGTTCAAGTCTGCAGACATTGCTTTTCTGGCTCTCATTTCACCCAGGCAAGCCCCACACCTGTCCTACAGAGGGAAGGTGAAGTGGTTGGTTCAGAAGGTAGAAAAAACACAATCAGGAATCTGCAATTCACATTTTCACCACTTGTAGGGCGTAGGGCAACGAGCGATTTTTTTCTTTCATCTATCCTTTCTGAGCCTTGGTTTTCCTCTTGTCCAAATGGGGTAGAACAATACTTTATTACGGTTGATAAGAGGATATAATGATCCGTAAAGCGGTTAACACAGTGCCTAGCATACTGTAAGCGCTGAACACGTGAAAGCTGTTACTGTTATATTTGGAACAGAAAACCAAGGAAGGGTTACAATGAGGACAATTCTAATTGCAGAGGCACTGTAATGTAGAACCCGTCGGTGGCTAGGCGCATGCGCCCGAGTGCGGTCGCGCAGCGAGCGCGGGCGTTGCGCATGCGCCGGAAGTTGCAGCCTGGAAGCCGGCGAGGTCGGTTCCGCCCGACTCTAATATGGCGGCGCCCTTTGTCTGCTCTGAAGTGCCGTCCCCGGCCTTCTCGCGGCCGTGATGCACCTCCTTCGGCGGTGGGGTCCGGGACATGGCAGGTGAGGGTCAGCAAGCACCCGTGGCTGGAGAAGTCCCGGGAGCCCGGCGGCGGTGGCGCAGGATGGAGCGTGGCGGGACGCCGGGGAAACGGTTGTGTGGGGGAGGGGAGCGAAGTGGAACGATGAGGGGACCCGGGCAGAGGGGTCCTGGCGGGCTGGAGGGCGTGGGCCAGCTGGACCAGGGGGCGCCGCCGAGCGGGCGGGCGGAGAGTCGGTGGGCTGACCCGCCCTCCCAGCGAGAGGGAGCACGAGTCACCTCCCAGGCGGGCTGACACCCCATCTGGTAGCATCTCCGCCCCCGCCGCCAGACTGTCACCTCCCCTTGACCCCGCGCGCCGCGGCGAGTGGGCGTTCTGCGACCTCCAGGTGGCCGAGGGTCTCCCTTTCCCCCCTCCTCGTCCCCCGGCTCCTCCTGTCCTCCGGCTTTTAGGGGCTGGACAGCGCGCTGGCCACTCAGGACCGGGGAAGCGAGGAAGGTGCAGGCGGCCGGACCCGTCACCGGCTAAGATTTCATTCATTCATTCTTGCACCTGCTTATTCCTGATGCTGGAGCGAACGATCCCGGCGGAGCGCGCCGGGCGCAAGGGCCGCCGGGCAGCCCGGGGTTCGATCCCGACCCTCAGCCCGCCAGCTTTGTCCCCGAGGCATATTCGTTCTCTCTGTCTCGGTTTCTTCCTGTGTAAACCAGAGATTAAAATACAAAGTCGCCTCCTGTAAGATAGTTACAAAGATAAAAGGAAGTTGAGGCGCGGGCAGGTTGGGGCGGGGGGGGGGGGGGGTCGGGGGGAGGGAGGGAATGTGCCGCGCAGAGCGATGACAGCGTGCAGCGTGCAGTTAGTGCTGTTAGTGCTGTGTACGTTTGTTGCTCTTATGTTTGGGCACCAGTTCCCATAGCTTGGGGACTGCGTGCAGGAGACTTCAGATAAAGGGGCAAAGGGACGGAAAGTCCAGATAGAGGAACCTCACACCCCGGGTTGGATGCAAAGAGACTTATTCTCCAAACCTGAGACCTAAAGGATGCTCTGGGGAGTGGAAGCAGGGAAGAAGGAGAATAGTCTCAGTGGAAAATGGAGTTTGTGAGCAAGTGCAGAGACCCGTGTTGTAATCTTTGAGTGAGGTTCTGTACCTGGAGACAGATCTGTGTGGAGAGAGGACAGGAAGCTGTGGAAGGGGACTTGTCAAGGTGGTGTAGGACTTTAAGAGCTACTAAAAGGAGAAGTCCAGGGGCTGGAGCAATAGCACAGTGCATAGGGCGTTTGCCTTGCACGCAGCTGACCTAGGTTCGATTCCCAGCATCCCATATGGTCCCCTGAGCACCACCAGGAGTGATTCCTGAGTGCAGAGCCAGGAGTACCCCTGTGAATCACCAGGTGAACCCCAAAAGCAAAAAAATAAAAAAAAGGAGAAGTCTAGTGAGAATCAGAGTACAGTAGAAAGCCCACTCTGCTGTCGTGAGGAATTTAGTAAAGGGGGTGTGCCTGGAAGCCTTTTAGGAGGCAGCTCTAATAATCCAGGTGAGAAAGGGCTTTGAGTTAGGTTTAGGCAGAGGGTTGGGAGCCTGTTTTAGGAATAGAAATGACACGTTAGGCCAGTTGTATAGATGAGGGAATTATGGGCAGGGAGGAGGGAGAATTGATCCCACCTATCTAATGTCGATACTGCTTTAACATGTTGAAAGTCAGTGTGCATGCATCACCTGCTAGTGGTGACCCAGCAGTGGATAACCTCAAGGCTTTGGGTTCATGGGAGGAGCTGTGCTCACTGTGGAGGAGCGCTGCAGAAATACTCGGGCCAAGCCTCAGGCCTTTCGTTTATCACCTATATTGTTCTGCCTATCACTGAACAGATGTTTCTAGTTTTTTGGGAGGCCACACCCAGCAGTGCTATGGGCTTACCCCTGGCTCTACACCCAGGGATCACTCCTGCAGGACTTGGGGGACCATATGGGGATGCTGGGGACCTTATTTGGGTCCACTCCATGCAAAACAAGTGCCTCACCTGCTGCATTATCACTCCGACCCTGAGCAGATGTTTCTGAGAGTGTTGGCTGAATTTAATCGTCTTTGTGTCTGGTTTGCCACAGGCCAGCAGTGGGCTTGTTTGACATGGATCGAACACTTATTCCATGCCAGGCTCTGCACTCAGTGCTCTGCATTTGTTTGCTGCATGACAGCTGTAGAATGCAGTTATCCTTCAGGTTCATTCTCACCACGTTTTCCACCTGGGTGTCTCTGATTCAGGTGATGAGCTGGAGGAGACGAGCCAAGCTGGAGTTGACGCAGATAAACTGTCAGAAGAGAGTAGCCCAGGCTGCCTGGAAATCTGAGGTATGTATAGAACCCTTGAGCAGAAAACAGACCCCGGGGTCAGTTTGTCCTTCTCTTCTCTTGGCTTACTCTGATTCAAACCATCCTTTGAAGATAGCCTTTTCATCAGAATTAAAGTTATGGCAAAATCCTAATTTGGCATTGTTGTACCAACAAAGACCAGAGTAGGTCCATCACTGTGCAGTAGTCAGAACTTGTTTTAATTAGGTGCATCCAAAATGTTTCAACAGGGGCTGGAGTGATAGCACAGCGGGTAGGGCGTTTGCCTTGCACGCGGCCAACCCGGGTTCGATTCCCAGCATCCCATATGGTCCCCTGAGCACCACCAGGAGTAATTCCTGAGTGCAGAGCCAGGAGTAACCCCTGTGCATTGCCGGGTGTGACCCCCCCCAAAAAAAAAGTTTTAACATTGTCAGCAGGAGTACAGCAGATAGGGTGCTTACCTTACATGTAGCTCTCATAGGTTTGATCCCTGGCACCCCATATAGTTCCTTGAGCCCCATCAGAAGTGATCCCTTGGGGTCAGAGAGGTAGTGCAGCGGGCAGGGCACTTGGCTTGCACACGGCAACCAGGTTTCGATTCCCAGCACCTCATATGGTCCCCTGAACCCACCAAGACTGATTCCTGAGAGCAGAGCCAGGAGTAACCCTTGAGAATCACTGAGTATGTTCCCCAAGCCAAAAAAACCAGAGCAATCCCCAGAATGTAGTGACTGAAACAGATAAAAGTTTATTCTTCATTCCAAGTAGGCCAGAACTCACTCTGGGCAACTCCGATCCATGAAGTTACATGGGAACAGAATTCCACTGATCGTGTGGTTCTGCTCACAACCAGGCTGCTGGAGCTCCCGCTATTGTACAGGCTGTCCTTCTTGTAGGAAGGGAAGGAGAGTGGGGAGCACGAGCCCGTTCCTTTTAAGGTTCTAATGTCTAAAGATACATATTTTGGGGCCACATGGTCCATGAGCAGAAGCATCTGGTGTACAACCAAAGAACAAATTATGGCTGTTTTCACTCTAGATGGAAAGTTGGCTGAGCCTGGCTGACTCTGGGGCCTGGGCCATTGCGAGGGGCCGTTCATTGCCTACGTGAGAGAGGTCTGGCTCTGTCTCCCCATGGCAGGATGCTCTGACTTCGGGCTGGCGTTTGTTGTCCAGGGAGTCCAAGCTTATTTATGCCACCTGCGTTTTCTCTGACCGACATATGGGATACACTGTGAGCTACTTGGAACCTGGAGACGAGGAAGATGGGGCCCTGGGAGCAGGGCGAGACTCCTCCCCAGCCAGGAGCCTGAGCCATATGGGTGATGCCAAAATAGCATTAGCAACCCCAGCAGCACCGCGGACAGCTGCTTCAAGCGCGTGGTGCACAAAGAGGAAGAGAATTGATCTGTGGAGAATCATGAGATCAAGGTTGATTGATTTGGGTTTGGGGCACAGGGCTTACTTCTGGCTCTGTGCTCAGGAATTACTCCTAGCAGTGTTTGGGGTATCATATGTGATTCTAGGGATGGATCTAGGGTTGGCTGTATGCAGGGCCAGTGCCCTTCTTGTGTACTATCACTCTGGCTCCAGATTATTTTCTTTGTTTATTTGGGGGCCACATCTGGGCAATGCTCAGGGCTGACTCCTGGCTTCACACTCAGAGATCACTCTGAGAGGGCTTGAGACCTGGGTCAGCAACATGCAAGGCAAGCCCCCTACCTGCTATAGTAAATTTCTGGCCTGTGGCTCAAGAATTTCTATTTTTTATTTATTTTTAGTGGTGTTGGGGTTGGTGGGTGTGACCCCCGCCTACTGGAATTCAAAGGATCTGGGTGGAGGATGCTCAGCTCCGATCCAAGTAGGCTTGGAGATCTCAGCCCCGGGTCCCGCTTGCCTTTGTTCCTCTGCCGGTACCTTCAGGTGTGCGGAGAGTGGTCTCAGTATGGTGGTGGCTGGTCCTGGAGGTCTTCGGCTGCCGGAGCCCTGGTCGGGGCGGGGAGAAAAGCTCAACCCGCTCCCCTCCAAGGGCCCCCGGTGAGGACAGCCAGGCACCTGCTCGAGGTGTTGGGGTGGGAACCTTGTGTCTCAGACACTCAAGGGAAACACTGGGCCACCTCTCCAGCTCTGAGAGGAAGATTCAGGGTGGAAATGGTTTGGATTAATAACTGGTGTCTTTAGGTGGAGTCAGTGTTTGTATCCCAGTTCCATGGCTGTGTTCTGAGGGCCCGTTTGTAACTCTGCCTCGATCTTCCTTATCTGTAAGGTGGGAATAAGAGTGTTTGACAGAATCATTTTGTGAATTATGTGAGGTCAGGCATAAAAGGGACAGTGTACTTGTTAGTTACTTCCTGTTGGAAAGCACAGGATGCTTTGGAAACAGTTAGAATTGCTGTTGAAGGAAACAGAGAACGGGGGCTTGTGCAGTGACTCAACAGGCAGGCGCACATGCTCTGCACTGAGGCTTGAGCCTCAGCCCAACAGAGTCCCCTGAGCACTACAGCAACAACTGTGGAGCACAGCTGCAAGTGAGTAGCCCCTGAACACCACCAGGTATGGCCCCCAAACAAAGAAAAGGAACCTTCTCCTGTGTGAATGGAAGTTTCCTGTCTTGCCTTGAGTCAGGAGTTACCCCCATTGTACAGACAGATCAAGAGTGTGGTGCCTCCCAAGCTGTTCTCAGGAAGTGGTCAGTTTGGGGCTGGAGCAGTAGTAGAGCAGGTAGGGCTCTTGCCTTGCTGAGGGGCTGTTCATTGCCTGGGTTTGATCCCTGGCATATATGGTCCCCTGAACCCTGCCAGGAGTGATCCCTGAGCCCAGAGATGGGAGTGAATCCCGAGCACCTCCAGATGTGATCCCAAAACAAAACAAACAAAAACAAAAACAAAAGCAAAGTGCCCACCTTGTGAATTGTTGGGATAAATCCAGAAAGTTTGAATGCGGGATTATTTGAGCAGGGTAGGAAGGAGGAAGCAGGTGGGTCCCGGCTGCTTCTTTAATCCCTTTAAACCCAAGTGCTTCTGGGAACCCTTGTCAAATCCCCTCTTCCCCTAGCCGAGTTTGGAGCTGTGTTTGGAGCTGTTCGCTCTGTGATTCGTAGCATCTGCTCAGTGAGTGCCTTCTCCCTTCATAACCGTAAGTTTCCTTGTTGGGCTCCCCATTAGACCTGCTGCATTTGACATGTAGGGACTGGCTCCATGTGGCATTCCTCCTGGACTGGCTCCATGTGGCGTTCCTCCTGGCTAGCCAGTTTGCTGGTTTGAGGCTGGTGCAGGCTGCCCAGCTGCCGGCTCTCTGCAGAGTCAGTCTTAAGGGACTGAAGAGGAACTGGCATTTGGACTGACGGGCACTGCTGTGTGGTACCGGGTTGGCGTACGCTTGACTGAGGAGAGGAAGCCTGAAGATTTCCTCCCCACAGGTTAGGACTCGGGCTGAGCTTGATGATGTGAGTTTAAGTCAAGATAGTTTCTCTGACTGCCTTTTAGAAAAAAGGCAATTCTCCCAGGAGGCAGCCCTGCCATTTGGCCTAGTCATCCTTTGCTGTAGGAGGGCTGTCCTCTAGGCTGTCCTCTACACTTTAGGCTTTTTAGGCATGCCCCTCTAAATGCCAGTAGCATCCATCTACTGAAACAGAAGTTTTTCCAGATAGTGCCAAATATCCAGTGCAAAACCAGCCCCAGCAGTGAACCCTGAAGTCTGAGCAGCATTTTGTTGTTGTTGTGGGGCCCCAGCTGACAATGCTCAATGCTTCTGGGTTTGTGCTCACGGGTCACTCCTGGTGGGGGTGGGGAACCAAATGGGAAGCCAGGGATCAAACCCAGGTCAACTGTATGCAAGGAAAGGGCCCTGTCTACTGTACTACTGCCCTGGCTCCTAGAGCAGCCTTCCTAACCTTTCCATCCCTGTGGATTGGGGAAATAGGAGAACTCTTCATGAGCTAGTTTATGTAAAATATCTAGCCTCTGTAGTGCTCGAATCATCTACTCACTACAGGGATGGGGAGCAGGAGCGATTTTTGGTGGAGAACCAGGAAATTTCCATAGACTGCATGCTGGCAGTCTGCCAAACAGAGATTAAAGTAAAGGACTGTTGAGTCCTGGTTAGAAGCATGAACCTCTGGGGGACCAGAGCAATAGTACAGTGGGTAGGGTGCTTGCCTTGCATTCAGCTGACCTGGGTTCAAATTCCCGGCAGCCCATATGGTACCCTGAACTCTACCAGGGTTGATTCCTTAGTACAAGCCAGGCGTAAGCTCTGAGCACTGCCAGGTATGCCTCCCAAACTGAACCAAAACAAAACAGAAATCTTCCAAAAATCCCCAGCATGAACTTCTAAAAATTCTGTAGCCATTCTGGGCTCATGCTGTTTTTTTCCATTTGGGTAGAGTGGGGGAACCTCTAAGCCTGTTTGCTCAGTTGTAAAATGGGGATCATAAGGACCTCACACAGAGCACTCTGGGGGTGGGGGGTAATTAAGAAGTCATTGCAGGTATTGTGTCTACTTCATAATTGGTGGCCAGTGTTGCTGTGTATTAGAAGGGAATGGGGCAATTGGGAGGAGCAAGAAAGAGAAGAAGAAATGTCTGGTCTCGGAATCCATGCCGAGGTATGCAAATCAGAAAGTTCCTGCCACCCCCTCCTCCCCCCCCCGTTCCCCTCCGGGATAACCGAAGAAGGTCTGTGTGGCCTTACAGAGTATTCTGTGTGTGTATCTGCACAGAGAGAGTTTTGGGGATTGGAATTGGGACTGGGTTTAGGCCACACCTGGCTGTGCTCAGGATTCACTCTTGGTGGTGCTCAGGGGACCATCTAAGGTGTTGGGGATCAATCCAAGGTTGGCGACATGCAAGACAAGTGCCCTAATCGCTGTACGATCTGGCCTGAGATCTTTCGTATATGGGCCACACTCAGTGGTGCTCAGAACCAGGGTTTACTCCTGGTTCTTCACCCAGGGATCACTCCTGGCAGGGCTCAGAGTACCATATAGGGTGCTGGGGATTGAATCCGTGTTGGCCTATGT